AGCACCAGGAGTCTACAGAGTTCCGTGCAGCTGTGGAAGAGCATACATCGGCACCACAAAACGAAGCATAAACACTAGAATCACGGAGCACAAACAAAGTTGCAGATTGGGACAAACAGAAAAATCAGCAGTAGCGGAGCACGCACTGCTAGACGGCCACCAAATACGATTCGACGAAGTGGACATTTTGCGCTGCCTCATCGCCTTTGATAATGTCCACCGCAGTTGTGGACGAAACGTCAGGAAGAAATTCCCATAGACCACGGCTACAAAGCCCGGAAAACATTCCTAATTGTATTTTAACCTGCCGTGAAAGCCTTCATAGTCTGATGTTGAATCTTGTTGAAGTGTCCCTAAAATCTTTAGATTCATATTGAATTTCCAGATGAATGTGGTGTTTGTGGAGGCGATAACAGCCAATGTCGTGAAGTGGCCGGAACTTACAACAACACTGCGGATCAAGTCAGTTACAACATGGTGGTTCGGATTCCCAAAGGCAGTTCGAATGTTAAAGTTACTCAACACAGTTATGGAATCGACGAAAATTTCCTGGGTAAGTTTGCCGTTTTCGATGAAGAAGACTTGTTTTCCTTTTTGAACTTTAATGGGGATGCAGGTGATTGAAGACGCGAGTGGAGCTTGCTCCACAGCCTAATGATTTTATTAGTGAGTTAAAAGTGAGTTTAGCCCTTAGAGATGGAGAAACTGGACAATACATTCTGAATGGGAACCAAATGCTGATGACTCAAGAGGTGGAAGTGGAATATGGCCCGATGATTATCAAGTACAGTGGCAGCAATGCTAAAACTGAATGGATATCGACGTTGAAAACGAAAAAACTGCACAAAGACCTGGTGGTGGAGGTTTTATCAATAAAGAACCTATCGCCTCCGGACATCACGTACCATTACGTAATCCGTAAAGATGCCGCTCCTAGGTATGTAGTTTTTAATAGGTATTTTGCATTTCGGCATGAAAATTGCACAATTTTCATTTCTTTGTGGTTCATTAGTTCAGATTCATATGTTTTCATTTTGCTTTCAATATGTCGAGGCTGAATTGCATTTTGAACAACCAGTTGCACGTTCAACAGCTAAAATAAATAAGGCGTCTTTTCCCTTGCATTAGGTCGTCCAGGTACCACACGCTCGAAGATCCCGAAAAAAGGTATTCAAAGCCTACACATGCTTTAGGTGTCTTTTACTGTCTCTTTTAATACGACTTTCCCCTTAATGATTTTTTTCCCTATGTCGATTACAGTCGTTTTACTGAGTGTTTTAAAATTAATTGCCCCGTCCCCAAGATTCATTGCCGAAGTGAATTTAGGTATTTCATTTTTTCCTTGCTGCAAATGTTCATTGATAATCAATTTTGTTCTGCATATTGGGAATTATGATTGCGATCTTGAACATGCCTATGATTTCGGACAAATAATTAATTTTTTTAAGTGATTTTTGATTAAGTCTTAGTCAGGGAATCTAATTCGGACGTTCCCGAATTACTTTTGGGACATACTTTATATGATGTGGTACGATACAGGCAAGATCAGTTTACATGTAAAAATGCTGAATGATTATTTGATTTATTTTAAAAGTGCAAATTTTATTAGTTTTTCCAAATACAGTATTAAAACAATCGAGATATATTTAACAAAACTGCAATGAGTTACTTCACTCTTCCGGAAATCTGGAAGAATAAATGGGACAACCCGTTGCTTCTCTACTTATTTATAGCTCTCAAGAGTTTATTTACAAATATCTACATGTAATTGCTAAAATTGCTTCTTTTAACAATTGCTGCCATAGAAGCCGCCCATTGGTTTCTATACGATTTTTAATTAATTTTTATATTCACTAATTTGTAACTCCTTGCGTGTGATCGTTAGTGCTAAGAAAAGTGTGACTTATCTACGTAAAAAGTCCACGTTAAACGTACGTAATTGAACTTAACGTACGTAAAAAGTCCACATAACTACCTTAATGCCCCATTTTTTATCAATGATTAATGCTTTTTACCAACCACTTGAGCTCACACATAATCATCTTAAACTTTACTTAAATTTTGCAGTTTTTTCCACAGATCTTTTTCAGGTTTTGCGATTAATTTTTGCCTTAGATTATCTACGATGATCCACAAGGTTTTACATAATTTTCCTGAGTTGAAATTTTCTTCGAAAGTTTGGTCAGTGACTGATCAACATTCAGGTTGAAAACATTTTTGCTTTCAGGGGTTGTTGAGTAATTTGAAAAATTTGACTTTGACTATGAAATAAAAAAATTTGCTTAAAATAAGGCGTTCTATCGAATGCCAGGCTTTGCGAGTAACAAGACCCACCCTGTATAATTTTTGATAAAATTTACATGGTGTTTTGTTAATAGTGATACAATATTCTTCCAGTAACATCCCAGATGTTTTTTTCTTATTTAAAAGGAATTTCTCTTTTTGTCCTATTTTCAGACTTCTATATTTCAATCAAATATGCAACTTAAGGTTCTTTGGCTATAGAAAAAAATACCTCAGACTTAGTTAAAAAAAGCGCTTTGTTTTCACGCAATAACAATTACGTTTAAAGATAATTGTTCAACAGGCTGAATTAAATTTCTGGTAGATATTGTTTAAAATTGCAACTCCACAGACAAATTGGAAAAATTTTTTTTTGTCTTTAGATGAACCTGGCATGATTTTTTGTCTATTCATTAATTAATGCACCAAGTTTTGCCTAAAGCCGAGGTCGATTCTACAGGGTCTCACTAAGGAGATCGTTCGCGTTTTGCACTACAAATATTGCTTTGTGTAAAGAAAAAAAATGTTTAGAGATTAGAGATCTTAGTTTTATTCCGCGTTTTACTGAAAATTGTATTCAGCGTTTCTTCAAATATCTGTAATTGTAAAAGAAACTGTCTTTAGTGCGAAGCTTCCTGTATAAAAAGAAAGAGGAAGCTAATTTTCGGTGATGAACAGTTGAATTGAAAAACTTAAACTGAGGTAGCAATTGTACAAAAACATAACATTATTGGCCAAGTTTGAACCAAAAAAATGTGGAGAAGCGAGCAGTACTCCCGCCAAGGCTTGTGGGCCTAAGCAGGTTTTCCCTCCTTGTAATTACGACTTCTTCACAGCTTCCCCGTCATATACAGAGTGAAATTATTTTTCAGGCATAGTGAATAAAAAACTGACACTATTTCAACACCATACATTTGAATCAAAATGCATGCTGTGTTAAGTGGCGTGGAAGTACTTAATAATGCGTGTTTTTTTAATGTACTGCACCCAAATTTTAACCGCATGTTGATCTAACGACTAACTTCGACCTCTTACACACCTCCACAGTGTGTCGCCTTATTCCAGTTACGGTTGGCGGCTGTATCAGAAGAACTGGTCGACTTGCTCTTCCATCTGCGAGGGCATCCAGTATCGGAAGCCCACTTGCGTGAAGCTGATTAATGGACATGTAGCTGATAAAAGCTACTGCGCTCACAATGACGTTGAAAGCGCTACAGAGAAACGCCAATGCAACAAACACTGCAGCTTGACCTGGCACATTGAGTCCAGAAGCGCCTGTTCTCCACATTGTGGAAAAGGGTCTGTAGACTTTCAGGCCAATCGTGTTTCTTAATGGAAATCGATGTTTTGATTGCAGATATCGGCACGTGTATTACAAGTGCATAAAACTAGGGAAGAATAACCAAACGAATATACAGGACGTGCACACTCAGCACTGTAACGTGCTGCCGAAGCCTCCTAGTACGGAAATTTGCTACACTTCGTGCAATTCTACCAGATGGGATTATTCCAATTGGTCGGAAGTGAGTACAGGACAAAGTGAAGAAAATAAATTGGGGTGGAAACTATTTTCTGGTTCAAAAACTCGCCACCTTTGTAGCTCTGAATAATGTTACCGATTGCCAGAGGCTTCAAATGGGGAAATTTCAAGCCTATCGGCGACAGTATTTGATTCGTTTTGGGGTTAAAATTCCTAATTAAAATGTAATTTTCCCGGGAGTTATACAGGGGCTCAATGAAGAGCTGATTGAGCTGAGCATGCATAAAAAAGGGTATTAATTGTTACCAAACAGCTGAAGATATTTGCAGGAATTTTGGTAAGCGTTTATTGCCCATAAAACGAGCACGTTTTGCAATCGGCAGGAATTTTTATTTGTTCAGTGGCGTCCGAACGGGCACTTTGTAGGACAGTTTAAAAGAAAAATTTGCATTTTATTGCTTTTTCGTAAAATGACAAAAGTTTTGGGGTTTTTATTCAATTTCCAAGGAAAAGCTCCATGTAGACTTTTCTTTTCAAGCACTGTTTTCCAGTGACTGAAAGGTCCAGTTTGCCGCTTTGCACTTTTATACCTCAATTGTTTGACCAACACTGGATATCTGCTTTATTTTGATGTGATTTTTCTTTGGCAATTTTCGCATCCTAAATCTCGGTCAAATATTTTCACCCGTTTAGGAATAATTCATAAATTTGATTTTACCAATCTTTTCTTGATCTTGAACCTCCTCAATTTCCGTAAGAAAGGGTTTTTCAAACGTACTCGTATTTTTCTTATTATTTTTTCAATTTTGCACTGGCACATTGCAGGATATTTTAAAAGAAAAAATGTGCATTTTTTGCTGTTGCTGTTGTGTAAAACGACAAGAGTTTTGGATTTTTCATTCAATTTAAGAGAAAAAGGCTCAATTTAGATTTTCCATTTTATGCATGGTTTTTGAATGTTTTGCATGGTTTGAACTGTGCCCTAAAACCTTTTGACCAACACCGGATATCTGCTGCATTTTCACTCAAGGGCAGTGTATCGGACGGGAAAATTGAAAAAAATCCTTTTTTCGTCCAAATTTAACGAAAAATCTGAGAATCATTTTTTTTTATGGAAAAACAGTAGGAGTGTTCGTTTTTTCCTTGAAAATCTGCTATGCTTCTGTACGCAAGCTACTGACAAAATGAAGATGCTGATTTTATGGCCAAAAGTGCTTCTTCAAACGCGCTTACTGAATTTCCAAGTCATTTTTTGTTTTTTTTTTTATATTTTCACAAAAATGCACAACGAAGTATAGTGATTTAAAACCTGTTTGGAACTAAATCAGATTTGTTATACCACAGTTCATTAAGAATTAAAAAATGTTTACTTTTTTTTGGAAATGGCCAAAAAGAGCTGGAAACACTGGTCGCAACTAAACTTCCAAGAATTATAGAAGGAAGCTTTCTCTATCCAATAAAGAAAAAATAATGGTGGTAAAAATCTTGTTTGAACATTTTTTCAAAAATAGTGTTCAATATGAATTGCTGAAAAAAGGGCGTCGCAGGCTGCCAAATTTGAAAATTCAAATGATTTTTCAAAATCAAAAGGAATTTAAAATGATTTTAATTATATTTCTGCAAGTTACAGACCAACTCTTTCCCTATGGAGCCAAGGGGGTCATGACCCCCCCCCCCACTCAATTCTCT